TGGAGCCCGGCTCGCGGAGGCTCGGGGACGGCGGACCCCGGGCTCTCCGCAGCGCCGCCCGGCCTCGGACGCTCGCTCCAGCCGACCCCTTTGCCCGCCGGCTTCCGCCCCACCTCGGCTCGCGGGGACTCCTTGCGGCCCTGCCCGCGCTCGGCGTCCCCGGGGCCGCTAACGGCCAGGCGGGCCGCTGGGCACTCCGAGGGCAGCAGAGGCGGCCGCTGCGCCAGTCCCAGGGAATCCGGTCGTGCGGAGGCTGGGTGGGCAGTGGTGAATAAATGACTGGTGGCCCTTGCGGCTAGCTCTGGCTCCCACGGACGTCTGTCTGTCCCTCAACTTAAGAGAGGGCTTGTTTGGAGTCTGCGGGTGTGATGTTTATTTTGAAAGAGAACTTGGGTCCTGGCAGGCCTTTGAGCACCCCGGCAGGCTGGCCGGCAGGGGGACAGATGCCCGCACCTCGCCGGGGTTTGCAGCTGCACCGGGCCCACAGCGACCCCTCTCAGGAAGGAAACTTGAGGATGTGGCTCTGCTCCCGGGGGAGAGCCCGCTCAAGCCTGATCTGCCAGCCCTGCTGGGAGGAAACCGAGATCCGTGTCTGCTCCAGACCTTTCTTCTCAGTGCTGAATAATACAGGTCTTGTGCAAAATTAGCAGGATAGGGCGGGTGACTCCCTGCAGACGACCAAGCCTCTGAGTAGGGGGATTGGGGGGTTGCACCAAGGCTGGCAGAAGGCCCTGGAACACTCTGCAAACAAAGGCAGCTCACCCGGGAGGCTCTTGATACAAGGAGGGACTGCTAGGTGGGTATGTGCTGCTACCGGGTGAGGCGGCAGGGACCGTTTCAGGATCCGGGACCGCTTTCATGTTCCCGCCCATACCCAGAGAGCCCTGGGACATCTCCTGTGAGGGTGCTCAGGGTGCTGCTCCTGCGCCTGTATCATTGCTGTGATGTCTTGGCAGCGCAGCCTCTGAACCGGACTGACTTCTTGTGAGCACATTCTAGCGGTTCTCCTATGTTGTGATCTGCACCCTTCTCTCTGTTCCTGAGAACAGATAGGTGTGGGCCATAGCACTTCCGTTTCCTAGTTGCGCAACTTGGTATGCACCCTTTCTTTTTCTTCCACTCGTCTTAAAATGTGGTTTTCATGACACAGAGTACGGAGCAAGCAGAACCATAGAAGCATCTCTCCCACAAGCCCTCTTTCTGTGGCAGGCGTGGACAGCCCTCCTGCCCCCCCCTTTCCATGGCAGGCGTGGACGGTCTTCCTGGCCCCCTTTTCTGTGGCAGGCATGGACAGCCCTCCTGGCCCCCTTTCCGTGGCAGGTGTGGACAGCTCTCTGGCCCTCTTTCCATGCAGGTGTGGACAGTTCTCCTGGCCCCCTTTCCATGGCAGGCATGGACAGCTCTCCTGGCCCCTTGCTGGTCCCGCGAGAGCCTCATGCAGCCTTGTCTCTCTGAGCCTCCCCACTCACTGCTGCTCTGTCTATGGCTGTGCTCTCTCTGCTTCTGACTTCCTGTGGGTTTCATGTCAGGTGCTGCCACAGTGTGTGTGCAGATGAGCAGAGAAAGTTCCACTTGCATGGCCAATGAGACTGTTGCTGACAGTCTGGCACCCTCCCCTTCACGAGCTCCCTAGGGCAGTTCTTCCCAGAAGGTATTTTCTCATGGAGAGAGTGTCTTGGAGTGGGGGCAGGTGCCCTGCTCTTGTCAGAGGAAGGGGTCGTGGGCAGGGCAGGCCCTCCTGCAGCTGCTGGGGGAGCCTGGGGCCCCAGCGGGAGCTGTTGTCTATCACTTTGGGGGACAGCCTGAGCCATGAGTCCCATTGGGAACTGGAAGCTTGGTCATGAGCCTACCTGGAAGCCTCCCTCGGTAGACAACCTTGCCCACTCAGGAAAGTCTTGCCTGGGGGACTGGCCTGCTGCCTTGTAGATCTCTGAAACACCCTCCTGTCAGCATGTGCAGGAGGGCAGGGTGGGGGTGACACATCATGGCCCAGCGTCCACTCAGCAACCCCAAGCACTCACCAGGAGAGCTGTGTGCCATCGCCCCTGCCTCCACGAGGCTGTTACCGCCCCCACACCCCTGCCCATCCTTCTGCTGGGAAGCTGCTCTGCAGCCCTAGGCAGGCATAGGCAAGAGCCTCCCATGGGAGAAGCGGGCACTGCTCAGCTGCTGGCTCTCAGCACACTGGGTGGCAGTCACTGGAAACTAGGCCGGGGATGCTTTGTTCTGCCTCCTGCTCTTCAGGGACTGAGAGGCAGACACGGCCGGGCCGCCCTGCAGGCAGGCTAGGGTCCCTCTCCTGGTGTCCTGCTGGTGGAGGGCCAGGGCATGCATCTTCCTGAGACACCCGAGGGCCTCTGGGCGTCTTTCCTCCAAGACCTGCTTTCCTAAGCTTGCAGGGACCCTCTCCCTCCTGCCACATGTTGTGCCATGTGGCCACATCCTGCTGGGTTTCCAGCATTCTTGCTGGGAAGGGTGCATGTGACCCACGACTCGCACTTTCCAGTGCACCGTTCAGTGCTTCTAATGTGTTCAGCTATCCAACCGTCCTGCAGAAGGAAGCCCAGTGCCCAAGCCCACCCATCTGTGTTCTCTCTCTGGATTTGCCTTGGTGGTGCATCACGGAAATAGGACTGACTCTGTGCTCTGCATCGTCTGGTCCCGCATCTTCCACCCAGCCCCCTGTTCTTGGGGCCTGCCGTGCGCAGGCACGTCGGGGTTTTACCTCTCAGGCCGGGCATCATTCCCATGTGTGTATGCCATGCTCTATCCCTCCACCTACTGGGGCCTGGGCCACTTCCTCCGCTGCAGCCGTGAGTGCCTTGTGCAGAGCTCCCTGCAGGCTCTCTGTGAAGATCCTTCCTGTGATGGGGGAGTCAGGGACAGCCCCAGGAATGCTGTCTCCTTCACAGACCTGCTGATGGGGGCGTCTCCTTCACAGACCTGCTGATGGCCTGGGGAGGCCTTACTCTCTCGCGTGGGCAGTGATGAACTGGCGGTCTCTACCCTTCAGGAAGAGTTTTGTCAGGAACATCCACTTTCTGACAGGTCCCAGGTCTTAGGGTGAATCTTGCCTTCTCTCATGTGCAAGGGACTAGCCAGGCAGGTGGCTGGGAAGAGGGAAAGCAGGAGGGACTGGAGATGCCTCTGGGTGGTCTCTGCTTGCGCTCTCAGCCTGACTGCAGCAGAGGGACCTTTTCTTCAGAAGAACATAGAATCTCTCAATGGCCCATCGCTTAGCTGAGTCACCTGTAAAACCAGAAACATCCTCCCACCCCCTCTGCCCACCAGAGTTCCTGCCCTGGCCCATGGCCCAGCTGCTGGCGTGCACAGGCAGGAAACTGCACACCGACTTCTGCAGTCGGTGGCGCTGGTGTATCTGTGGGATTGGGTGGCTCCCCTGCACACAGAGCCTGTCCTGGGGCTCCAGCTCTCTCTGTCCCTGTGCTCCGGCACCATTTGCTATTAGGCTGTCCCCACACCCCTTCTCAGAGAGGGGCTCTAGGTCACGCAGTTCGCTCTCTAGCTCCCGCTGGAATCTCCGGGCTGGGGTGCAGTATATGGGGGGGTGCTTGTGACTGGGGAGACGCCCACTACCTAGAGCTGGAGTGCATGAGGGCCTCTAGGGCATGGTGTCTGTCCTCACAAGGTGGGTGTCCTAGGGGCAGTGCCAAAAGCCAGGGCCCATGGGCACCTGAGGTGTCCCTGAGCTGGCTCACACTCACCTAGCCTCCACCTAGACGCAGCACCCCTCCTGCCTGGGAAGCCATCCTGGGTGGAGACTCTCCCTGGCCTCTGGGCATGCTACCACTTGGCCACTTTGGCTCTGCCCTGTCCAACGAGACCAGACACCCCTAGGGCTTGGCAGTTTTCCTCCCCACAACTGTTAGTGACTTTACTCCCAGAGTAAGCACTTGGATAGTTTCCAGGACCCCTGGGCTGCACCCCACCCCAGAGCCCTTGAAGTATGGTCACCACCACAGGCGGATGGGCCTGGCAGGCAGAGGCTAGGCCTTCTGCCCATGGGAGCTCTCACGGGCTGATGCATGGTGGAGGGCTGGAGCCACAACCCTGCCCACAGCCCAAAAACAGGGTCTGACCGTTGGGGACCAGAACCACCATGTAGCACAATGGGGCCTCTGCAGCTGGCAGGCCTTAGGCGTAGGAGTGACCGTTTCCAGGAACATGGCCAGCAGAGAAGGATCTGCCCCTGAGGACCCTGCAAGGGCCAGTGGGAGGGGCCACTGAGGCTGGTATGGTTTGGGAGGCCCGTGGCCAGCCCTTAGGCCCGTGTTCCCTGCAGGTTCTGCGGGGCGTGCCTCCAGCCATGCCTGCAGGTGCCATCACCCCTGTGCCCGCTCTGCCGCCTACCCTTTGACCCCAAGAAGGTAGAAAAGGCCGCCCATGTGGAGAAGCAGCTCTCATCCTACAAGGCGCCCTGTCGAGGCTGCAACAAGAAGGTACCGCCCGCTGGTCACCTGGGCCGGGGAGGGGCACTCAAGGGGCAACTTCAGGCCCCATTCTGCTTGCCTTTCTGTTGAGTGATGGCCCAGCCCCTCCCTCCCATCGGCTCCTTCCCGTGTGACAGCCAACGGGAGCAGCGCTGCCAGAGCTCCTGGACCTCCAGAGCCCATGTGTGTGTGATGCATGCAGTCCCCTGTGCAGCCCTAGGGTTCATGGGGCTGCGCCTGTGGGCTGTGACAGATGGGAGAGGCAGCGGCTCTAGGGGGCTCTGAGATGGGGGGAGGAGTATAGGCACAGGCAGAGCCAATGGCCCAGGAGTCCGCTCCCAAGGGCCTGTAGGGTCATGGGCTGGGTGTACTTCTCCATCCTCCCAAGCCTGACCTGCACCTGCTGTCCTCCCTACATGCCACCTGCCCGAGGTGGGGCGCCCCGCTGGCCCCTCTGCCCCAGGAGGACTGAGCAGCCTGGATTCACTTTAGATTTTCCTCTCACTACTCTGCCACCGCTCAGGCTCCAGTCCTGCGAAGCTGTCACATGACAGCAGCCCTTGGACTGTGTCCTCAGGGTCAGAGACCAGGCGTCCAGGGGCTGCTCTGGACTCCAGGGGGCAAGGTTGAGCCACAGCTCCTTGGTCCTGTGGGCCTCCCAGCTCCCCACTGCTTATGCTTTCTCTATCCTGGGTGACAGAAAGGACCGGGGCCTTCCACATGCCACAGTCTTGCGGCTCTCACCCACGTCTCCCAGCATTCTGTCTCCCTGCCATGTGCCAGGCTGTGAAGGGCCTGGGTCGGGCTGTGAAGGGCTGTGGGCAGGACTGGGTGCTGCTGTATCCAGAGTTTGGATCTCGTGGTCTTGACCCTGGACACTGGGTTGGATGGCATGTGGAGGACAGTGCTCTGCTTTCAGGGAAGCAGGTGCCCTTCACCTGCCCTCAGCTCTGTGAGACATCTGTTCTCAGCCAATGGCATTTCCTGAGAGGTGGGACCTTGGGGGCTCCACCACCCAGGAGGCTGGCCGTGGCCACCTCCCTTCCTGGGCCGTGGATTTGAACATACTGGGCTCTACCTCTTCCCATTTCCCTTTTCTGGCAGGTTTCTGTCTCTGGCAACAGTGACTTGAGGTGACCCTGGGTCATTGTATTGTGACACCCATGTGGATTTCCTCAAATGACATTTGTCTAGGATAATTTTTTACGCTGGTCCCACCAGGGGGTGGGTTTTCTCCCTAATAAATTCTGCCCCCTCCTTCGCTGGGGTCCCCCTTCCTGTTGGATGGTCTCCAGGGACTCCTGGCATCCACTAAGTGAAATGTCTGTGGTGGCACCTGCTCTGAGCTGTGGGTCTCTGAGGACCCTGCACTTGGGGTCTCCTCGCTGCAGGTGTTCACTCAGCCTCCCAGAAGCCCTGCTGGCTGCTGGGACCTTGGCTGTGTAGGAGCAGAAGGCTGGGTGCCCTTGCTGCCATGGTGCCTTGGACTGCCCTTCCTGACCCTGAGGACGCCCTTGCGCCCTGTTCCTTAGGTGACGCTGGCCAAGATGCGAGTGCACGTTTCCTCCTGCCTGAAGGTCCAGGAGCAGATGGCCAACTGCCCCAAGTTTGTCCCTGTGGTGCCCTCATCCCAGCCCATCCCCAGGTGGGCCGCACGCTAGGGGAGGGTACGGGGCTCAGCTCACCTCGCTTCTTCATCCATAAGGAGCGGATGAAGTGCTCCCAGTCCCTGAGAGGCGGGGTTGCCCCGGGGACTGTGGCGCTCTGGGGAGGGCCTTGCCATCCTGCAGGAAGTACCTGTGGAGGCTGGGCCACCCGGGATGGGGACATCTCAGGGGTCAGGAGCAAGAGGAGGGTGCAGCCAGACCCACACAGTGCCTCGCAGCAGATGGGTGGGCCACTGGGTCCCCTTGGGCCTGCCGGGCGTCGGGGGAGGAGAGGGCCTGGCATGTCCTCTGGAGGCCTGTGGAGGGCAGGCTGGGCCCGGCCTGGTGGCGTGACGCAGGCCCATGCCCCTCGGCCCCCAGCCGCCACTCACCGCCCTGCCCCCCAGCAACATCCCCAACAGGTCCACCTTCGCCTGCCCGTACTGTGGTGCCCGCAACCTGGACCAGCAAGAGCTGGTGAAGCACTGCGTGGACAGCCACCGCAGCGACCCCAACCGTGTGGTGAGTGCCCATCCGGAAGGGCCCTGCCTGGGAGGCCTGGGGGGTGGGCATGAGTCCAGGGTGCACCAGATGGTGGGAGTGGTCAGTGCCAAGTTCAGGGCAGCACTTCGTAGGGCTTGGTGGCAAGGTCTCAGCAGCCAAGGCCCAGCTCTGTGCGCCTCAGTCTAGGCAAGCAGGGTGCACAGCCGGGGGCTGCGGAGGGTGGCACCCCAGGTGCCGGAGGGCCTGCCCAGCACCCACTCACACCAGCCTGTTGCAGGTGTGTCCCATCTGCTCGGCCATGCCCTGGGGTGACCCCAGCTACAAGAGCGCCAACTTCCTGCAGCACCTGCTCCACCGGCACAAGTTCTCCTACGACACCTTTGTGGTGGGTGTCCTGCTGCGGTGCCCTGCCCCCCCGCGCATGCCCTCAGCCAGTCTTAGGGGCCCTCGTTTTAATCAGAGGAAGCTCTAGCCAAGCTCACTCAGGGGCGGGGCCCTCCTACGGTTATGGGCCGGAAGGCGGGGTGAGAAATGGCCAGGTCTGAGTGACCACTAGAGGGCGCCACAGCCTCCCAGGTGAGGCTCTGCCCAGGGCCAGTGGGCTGCCTTCTGGCCCTGCAGAGCCCAGCAAGGTGAACTGGCCTCCCCTACGGGCTTTCTGGGAATCCCCAGCATTTTCACACTCCACTGTCTCCCTCCCCACAGTGGGTCAGACGTTACAGCCCCCAGGTCTGCAGCCCCTCTCCACACTCCCCTAGCCCTGTATATTCCTGGTGACGCTGTCGCCTCCTGCCAGCTGCCCAGGACTCACTACCCAGTTCCTACAGACGAGGGTGAAAGAAAGCCCTGCACTCTGGGTTCCACCAGGCATACAGCCACTGAGCCCTCAGGGAATCCACTCAGGATGAGAACCCAGGAGGCCGCTCACTGCCACATGGAGTGGTTGACACCTTCTCATCCCACAGAGGACAAACAGGTCCCCAAAGGACCACGTCCTTCCCAGTCCTGCAGGCGGGGAGCAGGATCCTGGAGGGACAGGCACTTTGCGGGGGAGTGCAGCCCGGCAGCCCTGGGCTCCTGAGGCCTGCAGCCCGTCTCCTCCCCCTTGCATCCTCAGGACTATAGCATCGATGAGGAGGCTGCCTTCCAGGCCGCGCTGGCCCTGTCTCTCTCTGAGAACTGACGTGGCGATGCCATCACCTGCCCGCGCCTGGGGTCGAAGACGCCCTCAAAGGACAGGGCCGTGTCCCCTCCTGCTCTGCAGAGTAATGCACCTGGGGCCAGAGGTGCCTCCACTCGTGTCCGGAAGGGCAGGCCACGAGCCTTGAGAGGACTGGCCGCCACCCTCTGCCGTCAGCGGGGCCGCCGTGGCCTGGTGCATCGCTGGGCTCTTCGGTGCTGTGGCCGAGCGGGCTCCCGGGCAGGGCCCCCAGAACGTGGAGCCGCCGGCTGTCTCTCCAAAGCCATGACACCCCTCGTGGGGAGGGGGCGCCGGTGCCTGGGCCCTGCAGCCTGCCCGGCCTGCTTCCCCCACGTGTTTGGTACTGGCTTTTGTGATACTTAGAAACCGGCACCTTTTCTATCTTCCCCAGTGTGAAAACCTTTTCACGTTTTATAGAGCAAAGACAAAGCATTCCTCTTCATATCGCAATATCCGTGTTTGACTAGGAATAATAGTATTTTTATGGAACATTTACAAAATTATATTTTTTAAAAAAACAATCAAAAATAAGCAGTGTAGGGTCGGGCCAAGGAGGGATGGCATGATAGGGTGGCTGCTGGAACGAACCTGGGCCAAGGCATCCTGGGTGCTAGGTCAGGGCAGGCGTGGCCTGCAGGCTCCACATACCAGGCTTCCCATGACTTGCGGCTTCTCCCTGATAAAACCAGGAAGAAATCACACCCTGGCCATTCACTGTGGCTGTGCCTGGAGGAGGCAGGGAGAGCAGGGTAGGGGCCTCTAATCGCCAGGTACTGGCCTCAGTTTCATCACCTGCCAAAGCTGACCATGTCTTGCCTCAGGCAGGGACCGCCCAGCGGAGGGTAGCTCAGGGTCTGGGCAGGGGCCTACTTGGTGGGGTTGGGCAGAAGCGCGGGTCAGCACTCTTGTCCTGTTCATAGCATTAATTATTGCTGTCTTTTAAAAAAAATTTAAATAAAACGTTTCAGAGCAACTACAGCAGTCTCGGCGGTGGTGCTATCCTCCCTTGGGGTCCCCAGCCTCCTCCCCAAGACAACCTTCTGACTCCTCCCTGGACCCAGTGGCTTAGGCCTCCTGCCAGCTGCTCGTGGCGCCCAGGCCCTGTGTTCTCCAGCTCACTGAGGGCCTTCAGAAGTCGCCAGGAGTTGTTGCTGGCTCATCCAGGCAGCGGCCGTTGAAGACAGTCCACGGGTTCCCCTCCCCCATCCCGGGTGCTCTGCTCACCCCCTTCTGGCAGTGTCTCCCAGGCAGCTCAAGGGAGACGAGCCAGACCAGTCTACCCCATATGAAGCAGGGCTGGCTCCGAGTGCCTTCAGGGGCCACTGGGGGCCCAACCTCCCCTTCCAATGGCTCTTGACCCTGCCAAGGCTCCTGCATCAGGGAAGCCCTCCTCACCCAGCAGTGCCGGGCTCTGGGGACAGCAGAGCCACCTGCCACGTGCCCATCCCCATGGCTCTCCAGAGGGGCTCACAGCATCCCCAGGGACCGCCTGCCCTGAGCTACCCACAAGCCCTCATCTGGTGCCCAGCAAGGCTGTCTGTGACCACCGTCTGGCCACCAGCCATGCCTGGCCACGGCCCTTGGTGGGCACTCCCCATGGGAGCAGACAGGCAGTTCCCCAAGCCCAGGCCTGCTCCATCTGGCCACAGTGACACAGGGGCCTGTCACAGGGCATGACCCTGTGCACCCAGGAAGCCCAGAGGCAGCTTTGGGCCTTGTCTCAGCAGGTCCTGACCCCCACGGCACCTCGGGAGGTGGTGCCTGCGTCACTGCTTTCCTGTAGGGACTGGAGCACTTACCCAGTCTAGGTGGTCCCCCCCAGGAAGGGAGGGAGGAGCCATAGCTGTCCTGGCCCAGCAGTGTGGACATGGCTGGGACTGTGTGCCACCCGGGCTCTGCGTGGCCCTAGCTGTGTCATCCTCGGCTCTGAGGACCCCTCCCAGGTCACCACCTGGGGAGTGGGCAGGGCTTTGGATGTTGGGGTGGGGTGGGGCAAGAGAAGGAAAAACTCCCTGGGCCCCGCTGATGCTCATGCTGTTGCTGGGACTGATGTTTCAGGGCCTCTGGCTCCCGGGAGGGAGGACAAGGAAGGAGCCTCCCTCTACGTTTCTCCCACCCGACTGGGTCCCCGTCCCTGAGAGCTATGTGGATTGCACTGCCCTGAGAGAATGGTAAGCATCTGCCTATGATATGCAGGTGGCACCCGAGTCATAGCAGAGAAAATAGAGCATCAAGAGGGGAGCCCACCTGGGTCATGGGCACCCAGCAGCAGCAAGACCCTCTCAAGCCCCCTTCCACACCCCAGTCTCTCGACATTCCACCCAACGATGAATCCCACCTTGCCCCTCCACGTCTGGGCCCCTCGCCCCTTCCCCACCACAGCTCCAGTTTCCAAGGGTGCAGGGCATCCCATTCAGGCCTTTCATCCTAGCCATGGGGAGCCCAAAACCACGGGATGGCATCTAGCGAGGGTGCGACCTGGATCTTGGGCATCCTCTCAGATCACCCTGTGTGTCCAGGAGGGTCTGCCCAGGAGCAGTCATTGGAGTGACCTCACAAGGTAGGAACTCGGGGCTCAGCAGGCCCGGGCCCAAGCAAGTACCTGGCCTCCTTTTTGTGTTAGGGAAGCCCCGGGTGGAGCCAGGTGCCCGCCACCCACAGTGGGGCGGGGGGGTCCCAGCCAGGGCCGGAGGCTGCACCCCTCCTGCTACACAGGAAGCGGGGATAGGCCACAGCCCCTTGGGTCGGAGAGTTCCGAAGGCCTGGGTCTCCACCCTGGGGTCCGTGAGCATTGGACAGCACAGCGCCAAGCCAGCTTGTCCCAGGAGCTCCCAGGCCCCGCGGGCCCATCAGAGACCCGTGGCAACATGCCTTGGTTTCACATTATGCAACAGTGTGGGGAGCGTCTCTGGGTTGCCATTAGGGTCAGGTGGCCAGCCGCTTCCAGGATGCCCGGAATATCCCAAGAACAGAGACTCCCTGCCCCTGGCCAGGCCCCCTCCCCCAGCTCCGGGGCCCCCAAGAAACTGTCTGCAGTTCCTGCCCCGTGGCTGGCTCCTGGGGCATAGCAGGGTGTGCTGCTCCTCTCCAGAGTACACATGTGGGGAACAGAGGGCAGCAAGAGGCCCCCAGCTGCAGCCATTCCCCCAACATTGGCATGCCTGGCTGCAGCTGCCCCCTGGGGTCCCCTGGGCATGTGGTGGTGCAACAGGGTCCCTCCAAGGCAGGGCCACCTCATCTAGGCTCCCGAGGTCCTGGGAGGCAGGCAGAAGTCACTGCTCCGTTTCATGGATGAGGAAAGACTCGACGCCCTGCCCCAAGCTGCTGCAAGAGCGGGCAGGGCCCACCTTCAGTTGTCTGGCCCAGTCTGCACGTACCTAGCAACACACTTGAGTAGAGCTGGGACCAATCACATGTGACTGGGAACAACTGTCTGTCTCCTGGGTCTCTGTATCCCTTCCTTCCACAACGCTCCTCCGAACACCCCCTCGTTGAAAGAAGCTTAAGGCCAGGCTCCGTGGCTCAGCCTGTAATCCCAGCACTTTGGGAGGCCAAGATGAATGGCTTGCCCGAGCTTGCGGGTTCGAGACCAGCCCGGGCAGCTTGGCGAGACCTCTACAATAAATCAAAAATTAACTGGGCGTGGGAGCGCTCCTGTAGTGCCAGCTACTTTGAAGGCTGAGGCGGAAGGATTGCTGGAGACAGCAGGTCGACACTGGGGTGGCCATGAAAGGGCCACTGAACTCCAGCCTGGGCAACAGAGTGAGACTCCAACTCAAAAAAAAAAAAAAAGCTTAAATTCACTCACAGTAAGGCATCACAAGGTCACCTGGGCAAAAGTAGCCTGAGGAATGCATCTCCAGAAGCGACTCTTGGAGCAAGGGAGGGATGCATTTTGCAGGGTGAGGGGAAGACTCCAGATGGCACCCCCAGATCCCTGACCTGGAGGAAAGAGGCTGGCTGGGGGCTGCCCTGCCCCCTACCCCGACATACGACCGTGTCTTGGCCTCAGTGAAGAACAGGAGGAAGAGCCTAGGCTGGTGTGACTGTCTGCAGACCTGCGCCTCCCTCAAGAGTCAGTGCAGAGGGGGTGGGTGAGACAGGACCCCTGGGGGTGGGAGCAGCCCCAACAGGGTGTTTTTCTAGAAACTCTTAGCACACCTGGTATGTGGAGGGAGGATCTGCCGGGTGTCCCGGCGGACACAGGCTCTATGGCAGCTGGGTTCTTGCCCTAGTCCAGGATACTATGAGTGTCCCAGGGCTGCTGAAGCAAGGGGCCACACTCTGGAGGGCTTAAAACAACAGAAAATAGGTCTCTCCCAGCTCTAGGGCCAGCGGTCCAGCATCAAGGTGTGGACAGAGTTGGGTCCAAATTTCACCTCCTTTATAAGAACACTGGTCACTGGATTAGGGCCACTCTCATGACCTTGTCTTGACTTGGCGACATCTGTAGAGACCCTGTTTCCAAATGAGGTCACTCCTAGGCAGGTTGTTAGACTCTCTGAGATGTAGTTTTTCTCATCTGTAAAACTGTATATGAGGTATTTGTGAAGGAGGATGGAGGGCATGGGCATAACAGTGGGTATATTGAGGAGGTTTGGCAGGGATCAGATTGATAAAATGTAGATTAAGTGCCTAGTACTGGGAGTTTGGTATATACAACATACTCAGAGAAGTGGTGCTATCTTAAAAAAAAAAACAACAAGCCGTGCTCGGTGGCTCAGCCTGTCATCCCACGCCTTTGGGAGGCTGAGGTGAGTGGATTGCCTGAGCCCGCGGGTTCGAGACCCGCCTGGGCAGCAAGACCTCATCTCTACAATAAATCAAAAAATCAGCTGGGCATGGTAGCGCATGCCTGTAATTCCGGCTACTTGGAAGGCTGAGGCGGAAGGATCGCCGGAGCCCAGCAGGTCGAGGCTGCGGTGGCTGGGAGCGGCCACTGCACTCCAGCCTGGGCAACAGAGTGAGACTCCAACTCAAACAAAACAAAACAAAAACAAAAACAAATGAAGTCACATGCTCAGGGATGGGAATTAGGATTCTCACATCTTTTGGGGGACACAGCTGTCTGTCAACTCTGTGTCAGGCACCGTACACCAAGATGCAGAGAAGAGATAGTCACCTCTCTTTTGAGCCAGTTAGGGAAGAGACTCCGGGCACCACCCATCTACCCTGGGAAGGGTGGTCCCCAACAGAGCCGGAGTTGGTGGTCAGCCCCATTTCTGCTCTCTCCCCACCCAAGGTCTGCCCTGTCCTGTTTTGGGAAGGTACAGGAGCTGCCCAGGCCCCTGGGAGCCAGCTGCCCTGGCCCGGCCCAGGGTCATGTACCTGCTGGACACAGTAATTCAACACAAGGGTCACGGGGCAGTACCTGGAGACTCTCAGACCCACTGCAGCTCCTTCACAATGTGCCTTGAAGAGATGCCATGTCCTCCTGCACCACCTCCCACCCCAGGCCAGCAATACACAGAGAACAAGACCTGGGCACTCATCCTTGGTCTCCCACTACTCCGTGCTGGCTCGGCTCCTAGGAGGGAGCTGCAGGGGGTGCTGAGCTGCCTAATACCCGCCTCCCTCCTGCCCAACCAGGTTGCCATGTTAACCTCTTCCCTATGTCACTGGACAGAGCACAGACACTCAGGGGCCGGATCTCCGTGGACGGCCTGTCTTCCTCACAGCACAGGATAGTCCAGGGTCGTGTCTCCATGGGATGGCCTCGGCCTCCCCAATGACACAGGACACTCAGGAGCCATGTCTCCGTGGACAGCTTCGGCCTTCCCAGTGACAAAGGACACTCAGAGGTTGTGTCTCCGTGGGAAGGCCTTGGTATCCCCAGTGACGCAGGACACTCAGGGGTCTTGTCTCCGTGGATGACCTCGATCTCCCCAGTGACACATTCAGGAGTCATGTCTCCATGGACAGCCTCAGTCTTCTCAGTGACACTGGACACTCAGGGGCCATGTCTCCATGAGATAGCCTCCATCTTGCCAGTGACACAGGACACTCAGGGGCTGTGTCTCCATGGACAGCCTCAACCTCCTCAGTAACACAGGACACTCAGGGGCTGTGTCTTCATGGACGGTCTTGGTCTCCCCCACAGCTGGGAACAAGTTGTCTGCTCCTCACATGGCAGATGACAAGGTGGAAGGACCGTTGACACCAGTGGGGTGCAGGGGTGGAAGCAGCCCCCACGGACCCAGTGGACCCCTCTCCCAGCGGCTGGGGCTCATCTGCACACACACAGCCTGCAGGTCACATCGGAGCAGCTCCTGCAACTTCTCACCAGCAGCTGCATGCACACACATGCACAAACATGCATGCACCCACACCCAAACACTTGCATGCACATGACCTGTGTACACAGGCAGACATGCGCACAGAATCCCGCTTGGGCAGCTCTGTCCTCAGCTCTTCTGGCCAGCCCCGGGGCCCCTCAGCAGTACCACTTGCTCAGTGTGTCTGAGGCATCCACATCCGCCTGTTCCGCAGATTATGTGCTGTGTGAGGGGCTGTTCACAGGACAGTGCAGCACAGGCCTGCCTGGGCAGAGGAGGCCAACAACCCGACGGCCAGGCTGGCAGCCAGAGGCAAGAACTCAGTGGCATCTGTCCCGCCTGGGGATGACTCCTGCTTCCTGCCACTTGCTTTACATGGGCCATTTGGGTATTTGCCAGGACTCTAGGGAGACCACACCCTCCTCCCTAGACACATGGCCAGCTGACCCCTCATTTTTCTCTCTTTCCTCCTTTGTGTCTCTCTCTCTCCCTCTTTGTCTGTCTCTCTTTCCCTCTGTCTCTCACTCTCTCTCTTTCCCTTTCTCTCTTTTCCCCTCTGTCACTCTCTGTCTCTTTCTTTCCCGCTCTCTCTCTGTTTCTGTCTCTCTTTCCCTCTGTCTCTCTTTGTCTCTCTTTCCCTGTCCATTTCCACCCTCTGTCTCTCTTACTGTCTCTCTGTCTCTGTGTCTGTCTCTCTTTCTCTCTCTCTCTGTCTTCCCCCCCTCTTTGTCTCTCACTCTCTTGTCTCTCTCTTTCTCTCTCTCTCTTTTCCTCTCTCTCTCTCTTTCCCTCTGCCTGTCTCTCACTCTGTCTCTCTATCTCTCTCTTTTCCTCTCTGTCTCTTTTCCTCTCTGTTTCTCTTTCCTTCTCTCTCTGTCTCTCTTTCCCTCTCTCTCTGTCTCTCTTTCCCCCCCGTCTCTATCCCTCTCTCTCTGTCTCTCTCTGTTCCCTCTCTGTTTCTCTTTCCTTCTCTCTCTGTCTCTCTCTTTCCCTCTCTGTCTCTCTCTCTGTCTCTGTCTCTTTCCCTCTCTCTCTGTCTCACTCTTCCCCTCTCTCTCTCTCTGTCTCTCTGTCTCTCTCTTTCCCTCCTCTCTGTCTCTGTCTCTCTCTCCCCACCTGACTCTTCACTCCTGCCTCGTGTGACAGGGATGGAGGACTGCCCTCCCCATTCGTGGCACCCTCCCTGCCGGGGTCTGTAATGAATCCCCGAGTGTGTTCCCTGCCATGGTAGACTGAATGTGCGCCTTCCCTGGAAGTTCCAGGGGCTGCCCAGGTCTGGTTTTCCCATCTCCCTGGAACACCAGGACAGAGTGCAAGTCTGGCAGGCATCACCTGGACATGGGTAGACACAAGCCACAGGGCACCCATGTAAGCAAGTGTCCCATGTGAGGGGCTCTTGGGCACCAGGCATCAGGCCATCTGCCAGATGGAAGAAGCTTCTCATGAAAGGACATGGTGGACACCACACCCACCCACATCCAAGTCCAGTCATTTCCTGGGAGGCTGGGGTGTCAGCAGCTGGGCACTGGAGCCCAGAGCAGCCGGGGGCTCTGAGACAACCATATCTGCCTCTCAGGACCCTCACATCACCATTGTCCCCACTGACCCCCAGTTCAAGAGCCACTGTCCTCCTAACAATCAAGATCCAAGGTGGTGTGCACAGCTATAGCGGTAGTGAATTCCCCGTCACTGCAGGTGACCAAGCACATGCTGGCCCCAGTTTGGTGGATGTAGGGATTTCAAGCACTAGATTCCAGTTTTCATGGGCCCATGACCTTGAATGGCCATGGGACTGCCCTGAGTCCTGGCATCTCAACCACGCCTGCTTTCTCGGTGAATGGCCAGCCTCTGCCCCAAGGCTGGGACAGTCAGGACCCAGCTGCCAGGCTTGCTCTGGGGGCCTTGCCCTTCACCCGCAGGCCTCCACTCAGGAGCACAGATAGGGTCTAAGCGCCCCCAGGGCATGGACAAGGGACCCAGAAAGGTCACGCTGTTTGGAGGTGCCAGATCCTCCTCTCTTGTTCATGAGCTCTGTGGACCCCCACCATGGACCCGACCATCGGCAGTTGTGTGGATGACAGGGCTCGTCCTCTCTGGGGCTGCTGTCTATGCAGGTGAGTGTTTCCGGGTCTGAGTCACAAACCCTCTCAGTGAGCCATCCAGGTGGTGGAGATACACACCTGTACACACATATGTGTGTCTCTTCCCAGCATCAGCATTGCCTCCACCATAAACCCAGAAAGACACAAACACACATGAAAGGACAAGTTCCTCAACTCAAGTGGAACTGGAACCACATCTCCCTTGGTCCCACAGATGAACTTGCAGCCCCTGGGTCTGACCCCCTGAAAACTCTCCTTGGGCATCTGCTGGAGGCAGATGGGAGGGCCAGGCTGCCCGGTCCCCGACACATGGTCAGCCCTGCGGTCCCAGATGTCAAGGGAAGACAGTGAGGACCTTCGTCCCTGCAGATCCTGTTCCAGTTCCAGGAGGGGCCGACCCAGGAGCCCGTGGGGTGGGATTCTGCTGCAGGGCGGAAGAGGGCTTAGCCCCCAGAGCCAATACTGGGGACCGAGGACATGGAGTGGGTGGAGATGGCCACCCTTCTCCCTGGGGCAGCCTGTGTATGGAGGGGCGAGCCTAAGGTCTTCCTCTGTGGGGCCCACAAGTCACCACCAAAGAGCATGTCTCACCACAGCGAGGGCAGTTCTGGGAGTCAGCAGAGACCTCACTCTTCCCTCCTGGCAGTTGGTTGTGGCAACCCCAGGAAAGCAACACACTGGTCCTACCCCAAGGGCGCCCGTGGAATCCCAGCGCTCTGGGCGTTTCCAGGGTGAGCACAGCAGCTCCTCACGGGAGGGCCGGAGTGTCCCTGCAAAATGTGGAACTCCAGCTGGGGTCAGGAGAGTGGGCCACCGCCTGGTGGCCACTCGTGGGGCATTGGGAGGGAGGCTGTGCGAGTGGAGGCTGGCTCAGGTATCTGCAGTGTTATCTCCATCAGGGAGGGGGAGAGGAGGCAGGGAGGCTAAAAATAGAACGCTTTCGAGGCGGGGAACAGGTGAATAAGCAAAAGACAGGCATGTGTCCTTTGAAATCCACACTCGCAGCAGGGCAGTGCCAAGCCTTGGCCACAGGAGAGACGGGCACCCATCCAGAGACTGACCCACCTACCCCCAAGTTACAGGACGTCCACGTGGAAAGGGACTCAGACACCAGGCATGGCTGTGCCCAGCTCTCTGTGGCATGGAGGATTCTCCGGGGGTGTGGCTTGCCCAGGTCACACACACAGGTGTCTCACACGACTCGCCCCTTTTATCACATGCCCTGTGACTGCATGGCTGAACCTGGGGACTCCACAAGTCCAGGCTCTGTCCTTTGTCCCAACCCAATGAGCTTGCTGAGGGGTGGCGCAGACTCTTAAAGCATTGTCTCCATAGGCGGACCCCTCGAGGACCTCAATCCACCCAGAAAGGGCCACTCTTCCCAAGCCACCTGTCCCTGGCTTGTTCCAGAGTACTGGTTCCTGGGTCGCCACCATGGCTGGGCCAGCTTTGGGCTTTCCGGACTTGTGCTCATGGGTCCTACTGTGCGGATTTGCAGAGGGAGGAGAGGGAGCGCCGCGAGGAGCGAGGGACGGCCGGGGCCCCCCAGGACTGGGCTCCACGGACGCCCCCTCGCTGTGTGGACTGGAACCCAGGTCCCTTCCACCTAGCCTTGAACTTTGCCCTTTAATCCACGTGGAGTGGGTGTCCAGGCCCGAGGGGTGGGTGTGTGACTCGACGCGCGCGCCAGAGAAGTCCCGTGGAGAGGACACCGGCGGCCACGCG